ATTTTGTATCGGCGAGTTGATCTAATGAATGTCACTGTAGTTTTAGACAATGAGCAATTAAGGAAATTGTTTCCAGATCACTTGTCATTGTACGTTTGCTGTTTGACACCATTCATAATTTTACTACTGGCAAACTTATTGGGACCGTGTTGTTGATAATATTCATTGCAGATAGTGGATAATGATGGCATCCATGCCAGAAAAGCCATGGCACAAGCAGTGGACAGAATCATGACCACTAACGATGCAGTAGAGGATTTGTGCAAGAGGGTAAGATTTCACAGCAATATAAACAATTTGATGCAAGTCAAGAATCCTCTTTAAATAAATCATCTATTCTGTCACAGCTGTCACTTTCAATGGCTTGTGCTGCGATAGATAATATACAGCTATATAAGAATTTTAAATTACAAAAGATCCTTACATTTTTTTGTCTTTAATTATCTCCTGAATTAAATGATCGAGGACCATTTGTTGGGGATGATGAAATAAAGCCGTGCAGTGAGAAACTTTTCCAATCTTCAACAATTGCTTTTTTATTGGCACGAAATTTACTTTATATGTTGTAGCTGTGTGTGAATACTATTTCACTTGTGTGACGGTGTGCCGGTAACACCACGTATAAAGGTTCCCCCCCCCCCACTCGTTGCGATTCTCAGATTTATATCACAAGGGAGTGTAGCTGAGAATTGTCGCAGTGGACGCGGACCGGCCGCAATCCGCCACACTTGTAAAGAAAAACCCACATTTTTGCCAGTTGCTATAATCTACGACTTCTAATTGCAGACTGTACAAGGACAAACCATGGCAAGAAGTCTCTGTCAGCAGTTTTGTGAGAGTGTTGACGATTGTTTGGAGTTTGGCGATGTCCCAAAGTAAGATTGGTGCTGAAACACCGATCCGTATGCAATTTAGTGAAACCTCAGTTGTAATCAACTATTTGTTAAGTTTAATATATTCCCATTTACTTTTGTAACACTGCGATACACACTATAGTTAATCATACTCGTGTAGTTGGGCGCAAAAAGTGCTGTGTTCTTGACTCAAGTGCAGATACTTTTAATTGTTTTATTACAATTAAATGTTTTGTTTTATTATTTTTTTACAGAGTGATCCCGGTATGCTTTGTAAAAATAATAGGAAGTGATCCTGCACCTTTCGGAACTTTGGAAGAATTTATGCCAGGACCATTCATAAAATAGATAGGAATAACCATTTGTCTCTGACGCATTGGACGCGGGACAATGCTAACAAATTCACAACGAGAGTGAGGCCATTTGTATTGACCTGCGCGCCATCTAACGAGCAATTAAATAAGCCTGCTCTATCTCCCCCAAGTCTTTGGGTTACAAACGAAGACTGAAAAAAAAAAGAAAATATCCTTCGAATCAGTTGCCTGATTTCACCATTATAAGAGTCCCGCTACAATAACAATTGAGTCCTTCCGGCACGTCGGCAGACGGAAAAGGGATCTCGGAGGCTCGGGGCGCTACGGCGTTCTGAGTCCGGGGGAGGGCGAGAGTTCAACAGGGGCAACCCAAACATTCACCTGCTGTCAAAGGGTGCGATGACCCCTGGGCTACACTCGCCTACTGAGGGGTGCAGCAGGAAGTAGTCAGGTTGGAACAGCAGGTGTGACACGGGGGCCATCCGCCGAAGGCCTGAGTTTAATTAAGAACTGGGTGGCGAAGGGGCAGATCGAGGCACTAGACGTGCGGTTCAGGACGGCAGACGGAGGGGTCGGCCTGGTAACCGCCGGTGGGGCGGTGATGGAGCCAAATGGCGGCAGCGTGGCAGCTTGTCTCCAGGCTGTCACTGGGCATTGAAGAACCGTAATAGTTGTCGGAGGCAATTGTAGGTTCACTGCCGCGGCTGCCCCGATTGGCGTGACACGGTCGGGTGAGTAGCGAAGGTCCCTCACTCCAGTGTTTCCGAAGGCGTATGTCTCTGTGGCAGCCACAAGTAATCGAACGCCGCGATATGAAGAATTTCTGAGTTCCGGCCATGTAACTCGAACCCGAGGCCGGACACATTCATGAAGCGTGACGTGCAACTATAACTGAGAAGGTCCAACATTGTCTAACGCTCACAATGACGTGCAAACGGCCAGCGCAGTGTGTGTCCCATCGTGTGGACAGGTGGGGGCCGGAGATTGTCATGGTTGCTGGAACGGCTAATGTGGTTGGCCCAGACTAGCAGGCCGGGACGGAGGGCGAAGGTGCAGTCGCTTGGTGTGACTCTGCCCACCTTTCGAGGAAGGAGGCTTCATGGTGATCCTCGTTCAGCCTGAGGCGAAGTGCTTCCTCTCCATCGCTCGGTCATGGTTTGCAGCCGCTAGGCGGTAGTGTGGGGAGCTAGAGTGCGAAGGTATATTCGGAGCCGCGATGCTGGCCAGGTCATAAATCTGAGTGGGGATGAACGACGATGTCCTTTCTTATAAGGGGTCGAAGAAGGGCAGAGAAGAAGTATGCAACATGTGGCTGAGAGAGCGGAGCGATCCGTAGCGTGACTGTATAAGCATAAACACGAGCGGTGACGGAGGTCGAGGGGAGACCGATTAGATTTGCCGTATGAGCAACGGACTGCGACGCGGTTCGGCAGGAGCGCGGCTGCGGTGTGCCAGCTCACAGGCACGACGTGGACGCGGTGCTTAGCTAGTGATATCATTCACGCCTGTCACTGGTCTCACTCTCTACTTCCGGATGCTCTGCATGTTGGAAAATGCGTGAGAGAGGGCCGACACCTGAGCTGAGTACTGTGGTGGGCAGGCGCCCGACGGACTCCCAATTCTGCAGGAAGTGTCTGTGGCTGCGCGCGGGAGTAGTGAGCAAGTGACACTCCGGTCCAGCGTCACTCGCTCGCTTCATCTGGGAAATATGCCGAATGTCACAAAGATAGCGCCGGAGGCAAGTTATCAGGCCTTGGCACCGCTGGGCGCAATACCGATGTGCCTGTTCCCACTTAACTGCCCAATTGACAATAGACAGATCGACCCCACAACCAGGTAGTTTAAACCCCTTTAATGGAAAAGGGTTCAGCAGGCAGACCGTACACTGAAGGGGTAGGCTGGGGCGTGCCGGGCTGGTGTCAGGGTGTGTGCGGTGCTGGGAGCTGGTGATGCGGCAGATCACTGTTGCATGTCACTGCACCTAAGCAACANTATTAAACCATACTTCTTCACGCAGATGGTGGTCTAGCGTCAGGGTACTATACCAGGCATGCTCAATCAAAGGTGGATGAACTACAGAGCGATCGTTGTTTGGCGTCTGCACAGCACTGGGTGACGCGGTATCAGAGACGGGTCAGAGCGAGCTGAAAACTGCGCGCCTGCTCATCTGCCATCGACACCTCAGGCCCACCGTTGGTCGTGCTGGCGGCACACTCGCCTCCAGTGATGCAGCTTGTTGCACTTCCTGCAAGTCTACCGTAAGCAGGACAGGTATTTTTTCTCACATGAGGTGGGTCTCTCTTACCGTGACCCTCTCTACCACAGTACGAGCATACTTCTGACTGACTGTATCACTGTCATGTCGTTTGGCCCCCTCTCTAACCATGGCTGAAGATCTTTTGCTCTCTGATACAGGCTGCGTGCAGCAGCTGCACCCTGTGACTGCAAAAGTCTGTTGGCCGATCCGCTTGCCTGCCTCTTTGGCCTCCACGAACTTGAAGACCTCCTCGAGAGTCATGTCGCTGGTTCGGATCTCACGGCAGATCGAGTTGAATCTCGCTGTCAGCAGACCCCTAGCTAACACATCCCGGAGAACCTCATTGGTGTAATTCACTCCATTCTGGCAGTTCTGGCACGTCAGTGCAAATTTGCAGACACTCGCTTGTCCAGTAATACGAGCGCCGAATGCGCGTCTGGCTCGTCATGATCTTGAGTCATGTTGTGCATGTGAACCGAGCAACCATCGTGTTCTCCTCTCTACTCCCAAGTTTTTTCATTGCTCCAGTACTGCTCCTCTGACTTATTCGTCAGACTGGCACCAGCTGATCTCGTCAGGTCCCTGCGAAGACCCTCGTCACAACACTCCAGCAGTTGGACTACTTTTTCCTGGCCAGTAACCTTAGTTGCGGAGACATAGTCTGTCCATCTGGTCGTGAAGTAAGTCCATTCTTCGCTCGACCCGCCAGAGGACAGTGTAGGTCTCTTCACCTTTTCGACCTTAGCGGGGGCGACTTGCGGTTGGGTGTGTTCAGCTGACGAATGTATCTGCAGTAACTGTACCACGATTGCAGGATCAACGTCCGCAGTCTTGTACTCGCAGCCAGCAACTGGACAGTTCACGGCAGGCATGATGGGGAACACTTATGTGGACGGTTCGATGTTAGCTGTAGATCACGAATTTGTTAGCATAGATAGGAATAACCATTTGTCTCTGACGCATTGGACGCGGGACAATGCTAACAAATTCACAACGAGAGTGAGGCCATTTGTATTGACCTGCGCGCCATCTAACGAGCAATTAAATAAGCCTGCTCTATAAAACATGTCACAAACTTCCTGGATACTCTACCACGACTGGGAACATCGCCAACAAGTGACAAGATGCAAGCCCTAATGCATTATACTTACATATACTTTGGTGAAGGAAGAGCCATGCTCACCGACTTGCAAGGTAGTGTATACTTAAAATTCCCATTCTCAATTTCGTAACTCATAGGTTTTTGTAGCTTACACGATAGTAGTGGTGTCTGTCGTCTGCCAGCATGGCAGCAGAAATTTAAATGGCTACACTTAGAATAACGGAATCATGTGCATATAGTTTCTAGGTCAGTCCGTATATACTTGCCAAAAATTCAGGGTCACTGGCTGGTTACATGTTCTATTTGGGACATTTACATGAAATCATATTTTGAAATCATCGTCTTTTTCTTAGAATTTTTGATTTCGTAATTTGATAGATTTTTTTTTTGGGTGTGTTTGTGCATAATAACAATAGCGCATCACATGGTTTTACATACAAGAAATTAGTATGCCAAGAGTTGTAACTTTTTTATTTATTTAATAGGATGTGGAATGAATATAACGGACCCGGAAATAGCTACCTGGATCGTACACGCAGAGTGCGACGATGGAACCGACATGTATGTTTTACTAATTGTAAACATTTTAGTTTTTTCTGCAAACATTATCCCAATAAAATATAATTACTATTTTATGTTGTACCATTTTGCTCTTAACTTCACCAAACTAACGTTATTTGTTTTTTTTTATCATTTTACAGGTTGTATGGCGTTGGAAATGCGAACAGAGAAGCAATTAAAAATTTTGCTGAAAAACATAGTTGCAGCAAGTACTGCAGACTTGCAGGTCTGACAGGTATATTTCCAAATGCATGCTATTCATGAATAATTATATCACAGGTGATAAGGTGTAAAACGTCTTCTGTATGTTTTGCATACGACTCGAAACCTCTGGGTTAAAAACATGCGTTCCATTATTTCCCAAGCAATACATTAAATTAAGTGTTGATGGATGCAAACTATAATTTTATGTGCGCAACGACAAAGCTGTTTGAAAATGATACAGATTGCCGTAAACAGTCATGGCACATGGGGCGTTTTATTACACAAATGTATTTTGTATTTTTCCCAGAAATAGTTCCTGTGGAGTTCGGAAATCTGGGCGAAAATACTGGCTGCACAAGTCCTGGAGGGAGGCCGACACTAACCTTAACCTAAATATTGAGATTGGCACGTACATGAGTAAATAATGTGCTTATACAGCAAATCAGTTTCAACTTCAGTTCAAACATTTCAGAACCAGTTCAGAAAACAACAAGATCAACAATCGATCAAACAAACAGTTCAGAACCAGCAAAACAGTTCAGTCATCAAATTACAAAATCACTGCTAGGTCATCTCGTGTACCAAAGTTTCGTTTCAGTAAGATATATGCAGCTCGTGCAGTAGAGTGGTCCAGCTGCATACCATGCTCTGTGAAAAGGTCTTCACTCTCTTGTCTGAACCATGCTGGAACAAAATCTCTCACTGGCTGAGCAAATGCTTTCCCTTGCAAATACCTCAACTCTTCTGGAACTGTTGGCAGCCCACATTGTTGTGCACCTACAAAAAAGGCACTTTAGGTAAACAATTAGTCTACCAATTGAAGAAAAAAAAACATCACAAAGCTGTTGCTGGCTGGCTTTTGTGTAGTTTATCTTGTTATTATTGGGAAAACTGACAATAACGATAGCTCACGGATTGACTGTCTCTGCCAATAACGAGGCAATACAGTTTTGTATACAGCTAGTTCTAATTGCAGGGTTTACATGGTTTATGTAAATACTTACTTTGTGAGTGTGAGTAGTTTTGTATTTTTATATTTTAAGTGTTTTTCTAATGGCTCAATAGTTCTTTGTTTTACTGCTAAATAAAGGGTAATTGCGAATGGGGCAAAAATTATTTTTTTAGACATGGGCGTTTGTAAACTTGTTACATTAGTCAGTACAGTGTGAATTTCTCTTTCATTTAATAGTTCTTTTACCAATTTAATGCTAGCTCGCTATTATAAACCTGTTTATCATCAACATCGTAAAAATATGTTATGGTGAAAAAAATGTAATGTTACTAACCGTATGCCTCAGGAAACTTGAAAAGCAGGTCAGGTATGCCAGATGGGCGATCGGTGCCAACTTGCAACCGAATACGATGGCTGTTCCACCAATTTCTAAATTTATTTAGTTCGCCTTGGATTACTGGTATGTAAACCAATGCAAGGCAGGCCCTTCAAACATGTTGGTAAGTTTTAACTATTAAATAAGTTACAAAAATAACGTTTTATATAAATTAGAATGTAGTGTTTAAATTTAAAAAAGTATAAACACAGTGTTTTATGTAACACACTATTTACCTTTCTGCATTGTTGCTCGGATTGTATAGCCCATCATTTTTTAAACCCTGAAAAACAATCATTTTGCAGTATGTGAAACAAGATGTTTTTTACATACATTTCAATAACTAAATGTCATAGCTTGACATTGTTAACCACAATAAAAATTTTGCTGAAGGAACTATTGGAAGCTGCATGAAGTGTACTCGTGAATACAACGCATATGTATTGGCATGTACAACGACTGTATAGCTTATCAAACCACAGAAACCTACATGCATTTCTGTTTAAGACTTCAATATGTATATATGGTTTTTAATATTTGTATATAGGAGAAAACTTATTTTTTGAATATTTATGAATATGTTATCATATGCTTATCATTTTCTAATTATGCATTTTAGCACACATTTACAGGCCTCACCTTCACTTCATCGCGAAAATACTGGCCGCTGCGTTCTCTGTAATCACGCCACCATCTTTCAATTGGCTAAAGAATATTGAACAGAAACATATCACACATCATTTATGTTTTTATGGATATCAGTCTACTCCTGTTTGGAGGGTGCATATTTCGTGCAACATATGAAACGTTTACTATTCTTACGTTTTTCTGCAAAATACATAACTTCAATACTCGGAATGCTGTGTATTAGTGTAACCCATTTCTTGCAGTTCAGTAATGTTCTGTGTGAGTGTAAGCCATTTCTTGCTATTCACTAACGTTCTGTGTATTTCCATAAAATTGTTCAAATCCGTATACCTGATTAGTTGTTGATGACCCTGTAATGTGAGCTTTTTCTCCTGCCAAACCGTCTCTGTGGTTACGCCTCAAAAAACGCTGCATCTGGGAAAGAAGGCTGTTTTCATTACCAGGGTCAGACCTGGTTCGAATCGGAATCACTGAAAAATGTAGGAAAAACTAAACATTACTTAAAAATAGGATTAGGTGAAGATGATAATATATCTTTGCAATATGGTGGTGTAGTGCATGAGTAAACTTTATTAAAAAGAAACTCACAATGAAACTCTTCCAGGTATTCCAACATCCATCTAGCTACATGGTTTGGGTTGCTGTTTGATGGTGTAACTTTCAGCCAAAGTACACGCCGAGAAAAAGAATCAATTGCTGCATGTATGCCAAGTGGGTATTCTTGTTTCCTAAATCCCATCAGCTTGTCATGTTGGTCAACATTTATTAACCAGTTAGGGCCCTGTAATAACATTTTTTTAAGTGTTATTGATAAGCTCTACAAATGCAAACTGCAATGGAACAACAATTGCTGCAGACCTCAGTGCTCTCCGAGGTCAGATATGAGCTAAAAATACAATTTGCAGAGAAGAGTATATTACGTATTGCAGAGTACGTTATGTTATAAAATTGTTTTATTAGTTTGTAAAGGAGTTCACATGTATTATATTTTTACAACAGTTTCATCTCACTTTTGAATAAAATTGGCGCCTTTCTCCTAGTCTTCGGTTTGTTATTGATCCTCTTGCAATCAATCCTTCAGGATCTAAGTTTTGCATTGCTGCATAAACATCATCTCTGAAATGGCAAGATCACGGCAAGTAGTTAATGTCCAAAATGAAAAGGCCACCATCAAGAAAATTACATATGCACAAGTATGACATTGTCTGGGATGTTGACCCTATCATAATAAGCATTTTACAGACCTTTTGTTAACCTTTTGTTAAGTTGACCTAAGGCACTTTTGTTACATTAAAACAATAGGACTAGATATAAACCACTGTCGCAGTTATGGTTTATAACTATAGTCACACAACCAATGCTGTATTTTAATTTGGCTGCAATACAAAGCATTAGGCATTATCTGTAGAACCTATATATCGTGGCACGAGAAAATTGAGAAGATATGCTATGATGTTCATGTTATTATCGGATATTAATTTCATCATACATTTACATAAAACGTGTTTCGTTATGAACTTTAATTGGGTAGAAAAAGATATATGAGGGACCCCAAAGTAAAATAGTGTATAATGGTACTTACCCTTATAATAGTACTTAAACATATGAAATTACTCTGCAAACATATAATAGCGAACACACTAGAGGTGCTTAAAGCTTTTTTGAATAAAGTTTGAAGAGTAATTTTTATCAGTATGATCAGTTTTGATTGAAAACAGTATGAATTAAAGGGTTTCAGAATTATTCATGTCTTCATAATTATGTTTTCAGAGTAGTTTCATATTTTTGAATAATACGTGACGCACACACGTCACACACACGCGCTCACGCACACACGCCGCACACACGCGCTCACGCACACACGTCAAACACACACGCGCTTACGCACACACGTCGCGCACACGCGTTCACGCACACACGTCACACACATGCGCTCACGCACACACGCACACACGTCGCGCACACGCGCTCACGCACACACGATAAAAAAAATCGTGAGCCCCCTTAGGTCTTTGTGTAACAAGTCGTGTGCTGGTTAGCAACACGAAGGACGCGATAACCACATCAAACGTGGAGCTCTAGACTGGTCCCTTTACCGCCCAGCACCACTCAGAAGCTCGCTATGTCTAACGGCACGACCGCACGAGAGCAGTGGGCCGCGAACACGCGCTAACGTCAGCTCAAGACGTTTCATGGACTACGTACCACCATCTAACAATTCAGAAATGGCATACCATTACGCAGAGTAAGTACACATTAAGCATTCTAGAACGTAATAATCGTTTAATATCAACATTACCCGTAGCCCATGGGCGCAAATAGACTTTCCTACCGGACAATACGGCGGCACCTGGCTCCGAACCCCCTACTGCCTGGCACTGCGCCCGCTAGCTCCAAGAAACGGTCTTGCTAGGGTTAGAATAGCTCTAGTATCTATACTATAGCCCGCGTACAGTTGCGCTGGCAGCTGCAACTGTACGCGGCTATAGTTACTAGAGCTAGGGTTAGAATTGTGCTATAGTGACGTTAGTCACACAGGCCTGGTCGGGTTTATGCGCCCGCCGCGTGTACTGGCTACTCCCGCCAGCTGTTTACTCCCCCACCCTGGCGCCGCATACGCTGACACACCGTACTACGTCTAAATTATATACCATGGTTTTAATTAGGTGGAAAGAAGATTGATGAACTTCAAGAACGTCTTAAATCTTGTTAGAATCAACAATGTCACGCAGTGAAATTCTACTCTTCTGGAGTGATGAGTTTCCACAGTATAACTGGAGGTATTGAGACATATTTTTTGGCAGTTCATATAGCCTACTAAGTACCATACTCTACTACTAGTACTAATAGTAGTACTAGTAGTACAAATAAAATAATTTTGGGTCACCATGCAGAAGCCGCATGCATGACCATAGAGTTAAACTTGCAAAAATTATAGTTTCAGCTGAGATCAACTGATTTAGGTTTACTTATTGCACACACCATTTTGTTACAGTTAAAAATGCCCAATGATATATGATTTAAAATCATGAACTTCCAAATTTCAGTATTCATTCTTTTGAAAACAAGAATAGGTACTGGAAGCTGACAAAACACAGCAAGGAGGTTGGTGTTGCAGAGTTATGGCAGCAGTTCAGGTGTGTTAAATGTATTTTATAATATGACGTTTCTAAGTTTCTGTATTCTCGTGCATTGTAGCCATGAAAATAAGGTTAGTTTTTGGCATGCTTGTAAGATCGATGTACTAAATTCATTATCACAAACCACTTGCTTATATGTAATGAACTGATTATGTATTTGACCCTAACTTTAAATGTTATAATCTACGCCATAGTAAATTCTTTCACCTATGAACCATGCAGTATGACTGACATCATTGACTTAAGAGGCATGCTAAATGAAGTAAATTAAAGACGTGACAATTGTAATTAAACCAAAAATAGTGTTTAGAAAAAGGATGATCTAAACTGAAATGTGGAAAGAAAAAGAAGAATTTGTTTAAAGGTTTTTTGGTTTCACAGAATGAATGAATGGTCCAGGAAGACTGTTGGGTTACAGGGCAATGTGGCAAGTTATTCGGGATCGCTACCATCTTCGAATTACTAGGTAAATATATAATAGTGAATGACATGCTCTTTTCCAAATTTTCAATACTTTTTAACTTATTAGCATACGAAATATGTATATAGAGTTATAGACGCTGGTGTAGAGTGTGGTATTGATATCAGGCAGCGGCGTAGCCAGTGGGGGCAATGGGGGCGGTCGTCCCCCCCTAAGATTTCGAAGGCGAAAAAAATGGAAAATAAAGTTTAATACAAAAAAAATAATAATTTGCTTCACTGAAATCAAGACAAATTCAATTGTAATAGTGCGATTCAGTTGAACAGTTCAGTTCGGCCGGTCTCCCTTACGTAAGTGAGGTCAGGCGCGCCGGAAGCAATTTTGGATTGGGGGGGGGGCAAATGTAGTATAGACGCTTTGCCACTTCAAAAGCATGCCGATTTAGAAACAACCTTGCGGCTTACAAATCCTCGATGTCGGCTGTCTGTCGCTTACCGCCATATGTGGCTCATTCCCACCGTCTGCACATAGAGCGATGAGCCTGGTGAACGCGGCGCAGTCGCGATGCCGACGCATGTGCGCCATTTCGTGGCCGCTACCCGACACGCCCATGCGATCGCTGCCGCAGCCAACCGCGCCGCCAGCGGGGACGCCGTCGTCGCGTCGCGATCGCCGTCGACCCCGCAGGGATTGGCGTCGACCGTCCGTCACCGTCGGCAGGACAGCTGGCCGCCGCTCGGCGCGCCCGGTCGGCCCCTGCAGGCCGTCGCCGGGGTTCCACGGCGCCCTCGACACCGCCTCCACCGACGAGCTCCACGCCCAGCTATCTGATCGGTGGGACAACGGGAACTGGGAGGACGACGGCAACGTGGAGGTCGAAGAGAACTGGAACCTTCCTGGCGACGACCGGCCGCCTATATTCGTCCCCGAGGCTGAGTGGCTTCGGATGTTTCCCTATATGTTCCCCGAGGGGCTTCCGGCAGAATAATTTCTTCCGGGCATTGTTTTTTTTTGGGGGGGGGGTGTTTTATCGCGTTTCTAAAATTTTGTTACCTTTTTTTACCGGCGTGTTTGCTACATGTCGATAAGCACGAGCGTCGTCTGCGCGCCCGCGAGTTATTGTTTTTGTCTTTACGGTTATCGTAAGATATTTTGTACGGGTATTGTCCGCGGGTATTTCTTTTTTTTTGTCGCGCATTCGTGTCGCGTGTCGCGTCCTTTTCGTCACGCATCCACCACCTCGGCGCCAGCCTCCTTTACGTAACGTTGCACCATCACTACTTTATTTTCGGCGTTCTGTGATGCTGCAACCGTGCCTCGCCACTATGTGTAGTATAGACGCTTCACCATGTCAAAAGCATGCCAATTTAGAAACAACCTTGCGACTTACAAATTCCTCGATGTTCGGCGATCATAAAAACAGCAATTTCCGAGGTATAGGGCCTTAATGGAACCTATACCGGTCGTAGGATTTTATGGCCGCCGTCGGTGAATGGGACGCGCGACAGCTAGCGACACACGGGTCTCCCTTTTCTACCACGTAGGTCATCTTTCGCGCGCCTCCTACGTTTTCCGATATCTGGTATATGTGCTTTCCTGAGCCTATTCTCCAGAACCTTACCTCGCGAGTGATTTCGCGACGCATCTGCATACGAAGCGTAATCTTTTACGTTATACGCGATACCGCGCGCGGAGAGGCGACATACGAGTCGCCACTCTCTCAATAACCTGTATTGCGGACTCGGGCGTGGCACGCGGCGCGTACAGCTACCATATTGCACGCGAGTAGATATTTTGTTAGTGTTTATAGTCTAATCTAATACACGCACGTAGAGTGAATCTCACAATTCTGTGTTCTTGTTATTCATCGACGCTACCACTACCAGTCAGCTACCCTTAAGGGAAACTCTATCTCCATAAGGCCGAACCGTGAACCTGGGAGCACGCGACCGCCCTTGCC